GATATCACAGAAACAATGAATTTAAACTGGCTGTTTTTGCAGCTTAGTTTCCATATATAAACTACACAGACTGGGTAGTAAATGGTACGATTTGAAACAAACATACATATTAGTTCAAACTCCTTTACTTAAAGAAAGCGAAGGAAATTCGGTTTTCTACATGTTTCTGTCATGTATTTGTCTAGGCTTACATGTAGCGTTAGCTTAGATGAATACAAACATAGCCTACACACATGGCACTGGTTACATCTACAACAATCTGTGTGTCTTTATGTTACATCATCTATTATTTTTCAAAGAAAAAAATTATAAAGTGCATTTAAAACAAAATACATATATACGAATATATATATAAATACATTAATTAATAATATATATATATATATATTTTAAACATACTTTCAGCATTTTTGGCCTGCAAGTATCGTGTCCACAGATCCTTGCAAAACCTTGCTTTATTTGATAGAAAATTATATTTTCTCCGCTTCTTTTACGGGTGTTACAGGAGCGCAAAAAAATTAGTGCTATGTGTGCAAGCATATGTTAATCTATGACAGTGACTGCATGTGTGTTCTCATACCGCTCTTGCTCGTTTGGTTCAGTGATGATGCAGAATGGGAGGCAGTAGATCTGATGGACGGTTGGGGGTGTGTAGGGGACAATCTCTCTCTAGACTCCATACCTGAAAAATAACACACAAAGAACAGCTAAGTACAGACCCAGACAGAGAAACACTGTTACATTTCCGATGGACTCACAATAGGATATCACAGTTATGGACTTTCTGGCCTGATATGATACGTAACATCTTCTTGTGGCTGACAACAATATTGTTTTTATATTAAAACTTAGTCTCCTGTGTGTATCCACTATGCTACTCATGCTTGTTGATGGAGTGAAAAATGATGGAAATGCCCAGGACTAGTGATTACATGTGCATCAGAGCATGTGTGACCTAAAAGATAGATCACTAAAAAATAGGTTTCAATTATTGTTTCTAATTCCACTATTGGACCAACATATTCATAACAGTGATAATTAAATTTTCTCATTTATATGAGAATAATATACTTTTATTTCACAATACATATAATCTTGGCTGCCATTTTATTACCAGCCACAATGCCTTAAGGGCCACTGAAAAAAGTGCAAATTACTGACATAACCTTAACAAACTTTAGTCCCCTGGCCTGAAACAGACTGCTTAAACCCTGAAACACACTTATTCAGCTCACTATTCCATGCATGTTCATGTGTCTGGCTGTAATTGGTATGCAAAAGCATAATTCATACTTCAGGAGAAAAGTACCAGTTGAAAGTTGTCAGACTGGAGCTGCACATAATATAATGCTTCCAGAACAGCACCATCTTTATTAAACACAATTAATAAATGCAGCAAATACTTTTGACAATCAATATAATTTTCTTCTAATCACAATGTAGGCCTGCAATAACAGCTTGTGCACTCTTCCTGTAAGTATGTGTTGTTGGCTGACAGTACAGGCTGCCTCTGTGCCAACCAGAGCCAGTCCAAGGTAAGGTAAGGTCTGTTTACATTTTGTGCAAAGAAGACACTGTCAGCATACAATAAGGAAATTTTAGATCTGTTGGTGGACTTTACACTTAGGCTGAGAAGATAATGGAATTTCCTCACCTGAACTTGTCCTTAAAACCACTTTATTATAGGTCAAACACAAAAACACTGCCATTGAATATATGCCAATGAAAAATGTTCTCTACAGTCATTCAGTAACAGATTAGTAATACAGATCCATGTATCTGCAGGCTTACAAAATTCAGGAGATAAACACAGTGTTCCTTATATGGACCAAGTAATGTAAGTGTGAACATGAAGTAAACAGCCTGAAACTGCATTAACATATTTGTTTAATCTGAGGGGCTGACAACTACAATATTTTCAAAATTATATGACCAAAACTTGGAGATCAGATGAATTTAATCTACAATGAGAGGCTACTGAAAGTTTTATATTTTAAAGTTCTCAAGTTATAATTACTACGCATATACTTGCAGATGCTTGCCTTCGTTATGGTACCTAATTGTAGTTGTAGCATTGTCTGACAAATCAGTGGTCAACACCACTTCATTATTTAATAGGCCTATACAGTGGAACCAAAGGCCTATTGTTGTTAAGCAACCTAAATGTTAAACTCGCCTATTCACATAATAACAGTTGTTTATTGGAAATGAAAAACTAAAATTACTGTTTTTTTAACCAGTAGCATTGCTCAAACAACTGTTTATTTGTCGGTTAACAGCTAATTCGTTAATCATTTACATCCCTAATGTGCAACATTGCAGCTGCAATCCCCTTTAATGTGCCTACAGACTGGGTTTCATAGACAGGTGAATGTTGCATGATCATACATATACATTCTGAGCGAGTCTCACTTCTGACTGGAGCAGTGCAGCAGAAACACAGCCCGACACTAAAGAAGCCCACTGCATATCAACTACTGACCCTAGCTCGATCGCTCCTATCTCTCTTGCTCTCTCATTCCTTTTTCCACCCACACCATAGACAAGTGACCCTGAGGACTAAAAATGTAATAGAGGAAGAAAATGAAAGACTTCAGTGACACCCTAATTCATACACTCCAAGAGACAGACAGACAGCCAAACAGTCAACAATTACAATGCTTCAGTGACAGAGATTACTTAATAGAATGTAAATTTAGACAAGTCAGCCACTAATCATGCATATGCATATACTGCATGTGTGTGAAATTATGCACCATGCAAATGTCATGTGTGCAGAACAGTCAAAACCGGCTGTAGAATCATTTGCTCACTTCCATGGATTACAAATGAAAACTGTAATTGAGCAACATGGTGTTGCTGACCTGCAGAAATCTGTGTTTTGCCTAATGAGATTTACTTACACCAGCACATTTGTAGCCAATTTCATGTTTTCAAATGCTCTCCTGCTCATCCACCTTTGAGAACATTTCCAGTCAAAAATTGCATTTTCTCTGGCAATTCAGAGACACAACTGAACTGCTACTGTTATGACGTCCCTATAGAGGAAATCGAGCATAAACAGGTGTGCCCAAAGAAGACCATATAGTAAACAGTTTACCCTTCTAAAGGGCTACGCGTTATTACATAACCTAAACAGTTCATCTCTTTATTTTATTCATTTTTTTACAGAAATGAAAATTTCAAAAGAAATGATTATAATAATTGCAAAATAGCCATAAATGTCTGTATTTAAATACCATCCTGTGTTAATTATTAGAATCAGTCCACTGATAAGACAGGAGCTATTAGTTTGATTGGACTGGTAATTAGGCATGCTGCTTTGGAGCAGACTGTTACAGATCATGCTGCTGCTGCTATGAGCTCCTATGCCCACTGGATTTGCAAGTGTAACACAGTCACCTTGAAAACATGCACAACCCTGACACTACACAGTCAATCAAAAGGCCAGCAGGCAGGTTAGGAAAAGGAGAGACAACAAGAAAGAAACTATGAATTAGCATACACAGTGTTTCACACAGCAGCCAGTAAAGCGACCTCTTCTACAGATTTGATGCAAACTGAAGAATAATTGTTTCTGTCCAAACCTTTTGGGTTCCACATTTGGGGTAAAGCTCCTACTGACAACCTCTAAAGGGGTACAGATGAGAAGTTAGGTGGTCAGTTTGCTTTGGTTTCATTTTTAATGGAGCTATCTGGTGATTCAGCGTGTGTGTGTTCATGTTCAGGCTCTGTGATATCTGGTAGTGTAACAGATGGCTGGCACTAACAGTGATGATCCCACAACTCAGTCATCAGCATGGAACAGGACTATAACACACACACACACACACACACACACACACACACACACACACACACACACACACACAGTTAATGTTCAATAATAAGCCACAAGTTCAACAAGTACGTTACGTGTGCGTTACTGGTTTTACTACACTGTGATCTGATTGTGGTAATCTAATCATCCAATAAACATGCAGCACATTTTTACTTGCCCATTTCAAATACTGACTACATGTCATTTTTAAAAGGAAAGGTAGCACGACTTTTAAATATTATTAAATATATGGACAATGGAAATTACTTAACATTTTTACATTAACTTATTTTAACTTGGTGTCCTACCATTACAGCTTACAGCCTGTGGCACACACTCTATCCCATCAAAACAGAGAGGAAGCATGACAGAGATGGGGTGAATTACTTGTTAGGGGTCTCCTTTGCTGTATGTGTGGTTCACTGTGTGAAGTCACTGACTGAAGGCACAGCATGATCACACCAGACTCGCTATTAAACTTAAACAGCAACTTCAGCTTCCTCTAAGCGTGACGCATGCACACACACTCCTCGCAAACCTTTCCACCCCAAGAACCACTGTCACTAAAACATATCCTGCTCTCCATCACATGCAGGCCAGTGTGACTAGGAGTGGCCTGCTGCAGAACAGACCTGTGAAAGAGCAGCATGCTGAGGATGAAAGGGAGAAAGAGAGGAGTTAAAGCAGTCTTCCTCTGCTCTCCCACTACCATAATATCTTCCATCAGGATCAAACGACAGTTCATCAGCTCCTTACACTGCCCAGGTCACTCAGCCAGATGAGAGGTGGAGAGATGAAACAAACAAGAGGAAAGGAGGGAAAAGGCTAGGGAGTCATCTTTTTACAGGAAACAGAGTTACCAGAGCCGCTTAAACATGAAGAGCAGAGCCCTTCTGTCCAACAGTGCCAGTACTCCCGCATTCTCCCTCACTCGTCATGCTCAAATACACAAATGCACTGCACATTTACAAAGAGGGCTGGACTATGAACTCAATTTAGCCCTTTACTTTTTTTCTGGACCAGCCTACTACAATCACAGTGACCTCCACCTGAACACAAACCAGAAAAACTGAACCCCCATGTGCAGTGAAAAGAATAACTGAACAACAATCACGGTTTATCTCTTTAAAATACATGGACTTTTATTTCTTCATTTCTTTACATCTTGTTCTTGGGGCTGTGCGATTCACCAATGGCCACACACATTGGTCCTCTGAAAGGTTATGTAGGGAAAAAAAAAGGGTTCTTCTACGGCAATGCCGGTCTCTTATAATTAAGTATGGGTAAAATTCAATATCACAATACTTTTTTAAAATAATATGAAATTTCTAGGACGAAAACAGTAGACAATAACACCTTACTGTGGTCAATACTAATCCGAAACAGAAAGGATACAGTTAAAGACAATTACTGTAAACATTTACATTACACACACACACATATACATATATATATATATATATATATATATATATATATATATATATATATATACACACACACACACACACACACACACACATATATACATATATATATATATATACACACATACATATATATATACACATACACATATATATATATATATATATATATATATATATATATATATATATACACACACATACATACACATATATATATATATATATATATATATATATATATATATATATATATATATATATATATATATATACACACACATACACATACATATATACACATACATATATATATATATATATATATATATATATATATATATATATATATATATATATATACACACACACACACACACACACACACACATATATACATATATATATATATATACACACATACATATATATATA